CTCGCCCGCCCGCTTGTAGTCCTTGGCCAGGTCGCGCACCCGGCGTTTGTACTCCAGCTCTCGCCGCTCGGCCGCCGTCAGCTCCAGCTCCGAGAACAGGTGCTCCTCATCCACAATCTCCGCCTCCAGGTCCTCCAGCTTGTCCCGCTCCCGCTTGGCCAGGTACTCCCAGCGCGACTTCTTCCGTAGCTCTGGGATCTGGGGGGGATGGAGAGGGGCTAAGGGCACCAGCTGGGAAGCCAGCACCCCTGGGTTCCAGCCCCAGCTCTGGGAAGGGACTGGGGTCTAATGGGTTAAAGCAGGGGGGGCTGGGAGCCAGGGCTCCTGGGTTCTATCCCCAGCTCTGGGAGAAGATGAGGGTCAAGTGGGTCAGAGCAGGGTGGCTGGGAGCCAGGACTCCCAGGTTCTATCCCCAGCAGGGAGTAAGGGCCTGGGCCAGATGGGCCCTACCGATCTGATCTGGCTGGCGTGGCAAGCACAGAGGAATGCTGAGCTAGATGGGTCTGTACAGCTCCGATCAGCCAGAAGACGAGACAGAGATACAGTAGGAGAAATACAAAGCCCCTCACCATGGTTTTCTTGTCCTCTTCCGCCATCTTCAGTCGCTTCTGCGCCTCTTCGTAGGCCTGCACCCAGCATCAGGAGGGGGGGAGAGACACTGATCAGGTTGTGTGGACAGTCTTTCCCCTCCCCCACAGCTGGCCCCTCTCTGGAGCAGGCCAGGCTACAGACAGACTCCCTAGCGGGAAGGGCCCAGGAATTTCCAGGAGGGGCTCCCCAGCTTGCTGATAAACTTGGAATCTTCTCCTCCTCCCCACAAATCCCTGCCCTCCGGCTCTGCTCCCTCCAGCGCTTGTGGGGTTCACCATCACCCCTTCAGGGAAGAAATCTAGCCGTCAGAGCACAACATAGGAGAGGCAGGTGGCATCGGGGACTCAGGAAAGGATCCTAGCAATGGGTGGGGGGGGGGTGGTGTGTGAAATCCTGGGATAGGATCCTGGAAGTGGGTGGGGTGGGTCAGAAGTGGGATCCTAAGACTGTGGCAATGCAGGGGGAGCTTCAGAGCAGAGAGGAATCCCAGCAGCGGGTGGGGACGCATCCTGGCAGAGGGAGGTAGGGGGCTAGAGAGGGATCCCAGTTGTAGGACATATGGGGTGGGCTCAGGAAGGGACCCAGCTGCAGGGGAGGGGTGGGGGACAGATGCTGGCTGTAGAGACAGGCTCTGACCTTCTTGTCCGAACGCTCCAGGATGTTCCTGGTCTTCTCCTTGTCCTTGCGCTTGACCCGTTCGGCGAAGGCGTCGCGCTCCTCCAGGTCCTGCAGACGCTCTCGCTCACTGCGGTCCCATTCGTCCTCTGAGTCCTTCCCCTCCAGGGATGGCTCCCTGCATCCAGGGAAGGGTAAGACACCACAGTCAGGGCATTAGCCAGCTCCAGGGCCCCCCAGCGCAGGAGACTGTCCCCCCGCTCCACCCCCTGGGATCCCCTGTGGAGGATACACTCACGGCTCCCGCTCTGCTTCGTTCTCCTCCTCCGACGCCTCCTCCTGCTTCCGGCGTAGGTGTTTGCGTCGCTTCTTGTGCTTCCTCTGCTCAGGCCGGCGCTTGGAGCCCGGGGCAGCCCCCCCATCCCCCTCCTCCTCCTCGCTGTCCTCCAGCAGCTGGTACGAGCGGTTCTTCTGCTGCATGGCCAGGGCCTCTCGCTCGGCCACCCGGGCCGGACGCTCCTGGGGGGCCGAACGTGGGATCTGAGAGTGAGAGGAGAGATGGGGATTAGAAACACTGCACAGTCAGAGCACCCTCTCCGGCCCTGAGCCTTCTCCATAAGCTCCTCCCTTTAGGGCACAGGTCCCGCCCCTGCAACTAGCTCCTCCCCCTTCACAAAGGCTCCTCCCACTTTCACCCCTTCCCTGCTAATCCTTCCCCTTCCCACATGGTCCCCACTCCAGTAACCCCTCCCTACATCCTCCTCTTCCTCCCTCCACCTCCACGCAGAGGCCTCACTCCTCTGCTCCTGCTCCCTTTGTTCACAGGCCCTTTGCCTGCAGCCCCACTAACCCCACTTCCTCCCCTAGGCAGCCTCCATGTGTCCCTCCTCTCCCCAGTGCCTTTAGCCCCTCGCCTGAGGCCCCCTTCCCGGCCCTTCCCCCTCCAGTTTGGCCCCATCCCCTCAGCCCCACTGGCCCCGCCCCCTCCAAGTTTGGCTCCCCCCATTGTGGACCCTCCCCACTCAGCCCCACTGGCTCCTGCCCTCCCGTTTGGCCCCTGTCGCTCAACCCCTCCCCAATCAGTGTGTCCCCTCCCCCCTCAGCCCCATTAGCCCCGCCCCCTCCATTGTGGTCCCTCCCCCTCGGTTCACCAGCCCCGCCCACTCCGGTTGGACCCGCCCCCTCCTCCCCCCCAGCCCCGCCCACCTGTTCCCACAGGCGCTGGGCGAAGGCGCGCACGGCCGGCTCGCTCACGCGCAGGGTCTCGGTCTCCTCCAGGCGGTTCAGCAGCTCGTCGGGGCTGCGGCTGCGCCGGGCCAGGCCGAGCAGGAACCCGACCACGTGCCGCTCGCTCAGCCCCAGCAGCGCGTGCAGCTCCCCCGACACCCAGCGCTCCAGCCCCGCCATCCTCCTCCGCCTGCCTACCCAGCCGGGCCGCCGTACCCCCCCGCGCCGGCCGCTTCCGGGCCACGTGACCAAACACTTCCGGGGCGCAGGGGCCGATACAGTGCGCCGGCGCCGAGCCGGAATGAGGCACCTGCGCTCCGCCCTTTACCGTAATGACCAATATACGGACGGTTGACAGCTATACCCAAGCCCTGGCGGCTACCGTAATGAACAGAATAGCAACCGCAAGGGAAGAGCTCTGGTCGTAATTACAGAAACATGAGCCTCCCCTTTTGCGGCCGACACCTTACCGTAATGACGGAAATATGAGCCTCTCCTTCTTAGGGCGGGCTCCTTACCGTAATTACAGGAATACCAATTGCTCATTCTCTAGCTGGTTTCACTACTGTAATTACATGAATAGGAGCCGATGAAGTGAGCTGTAGCTCACGAAAGCTCATGCTCAAATAAATTGGTTAGTCTCTAAGGTGCCACAAGTCCTCCTTTTCTTTTTGCGGATACAGACTAACACGGCTGCTACTCTGACACCGGGCTCCCTAGTAATTGCACCATGTGAGATGCACCCCGCCACCTGTCTGTTTACAGTAATTACAGGAGCTTGTGTCCCACCCCCGTTTCCAACTTGCATGTCATTGTGGATATACGCACCCCACCCCAGGGTTGGGCATTTTACCATAATTACCATCATACCAGCTGCAGCCATGAGCACAGCCCAATTTGGGTCCTCATAGTAATTTGGTGGGGAGGCACTGCACAGAGAATCCAGGTCTTTACCATAAGTGCAGGTATATGAGTCACAAACCCAAGCTAGGAAGGTACTATAATTAGCAATCTATGATCCACAGGTGCAATTTTGGTCTTCACTGTAATTACTGTAATATAAGCTGCAGCACCAATTCAGGTCTGTACCATAAGTAACAATGTATGGGCTCTAGCATGGATCTGTACCATAATTAACAAAGAACAGATTACATCCAGAATGGGGTTTGCACCAGGGTCCATGCAACAGCACCAAGGGCTTTGAGTCAATCCTCTACCATAATTACTGGTTTATGAGCCTCAGCTCCTATTGGGACCTGTACCATAATTCTGGTGTAGGCTGCACCCTCACCTTGGCTCTTCACTATAACCGCCAGCTTATGAGCCACAACTCCAGTCTATGGTCTGCACCATATAACCTGTACAAGAGCAGCAGCCCTGGTTCTGTTTTCCTTCTTAATTGTTTTATGAGCTGCAGCTGTACTCAGGCCCTCACTGTAATTATACCTACAGACGTGCCACCTCTCATTAAGCTCTTTACCCCAACCAACCACCCTTGCACAAGCCAACATTATTACAATTATGAGCTGCTGCCCTATTTTGGTTCCTTACTATAACTAGATGTGTATCTGCCACATCCATGATTCGGCTCTTTAACATAATTAACTGCGTATGAGTCAGTTTCCTGCTTCCCTCCTTACTGTTACCACAGTTACAAACCTATGAGCTGGCTCCTCAGCTGATATTGTACTGTATTTACTAGCATATGAATCAACTTCCTGACTAGGCTTTTTACCAGATATACAGACAAATCAGCTCCCTATCTGATTCTTTACCTTATTTCCGGCCATGAGTCAACCCTATTTCTAGGCCTGTTAGTCACATTCTTTAGTAGGCACTTTACCATGTTTCCAGGCATACAACCTGTCTCCCTAACTGGCTCCGTACCCTATTTAACAGTGTGTGAGTTGCCTTCCAAAGTAGGATCTTCACAGTTTTTACAGACCTGGCTCATATCTGTATTTCCAGGCGTATGAGTTAACTTCCCACCTGTTATTTCATTGTCTCCAGCTTAACCCCGGCGGCCAGCGAACATTCATTCTCACCATAGGCCCGTCTCAGTGCTGTTCTTTGATGGGTCGCTGTAGAGAGGGTGGAAGGGTTGACTGGCCTTGGAGGATTTGATCTTTGCAACACTAGCAGGGATTTCAGCCCTGGGGCTGCAGCACTGCAGTGCAGAGCTCTGACAGCTGGGAGTCAGGGAGACATGGAATGGGAGGCAGAGCAACACCCACATCACTGGGGGTGTGGGGGATACATCGTCTTCCATAGTTCAGAGCTCTGACCGCTGAGGGTGAGCAGGCCAGACAAGAGCGGGGGCTCCTGCATCCTCAATGCCTCACCACTAGGGGGAGCAAGATGGGGAATGGGAGTTAGGGCGCCCACAGGGCAGAGCTGCCACCACCAGGGGGCACACAGGACCTGACAGTGCCAACCCTCATCCCCAAGGGGTGCATGGGAGGTCCTGGCAGCGCCCACACCTCATTCCCAGGGGGTGCGTGGGAGCCAGGTCCTGGCAGCACCCACCCATCCCAGACTGCGTGGGCCATAGACGACAGGAGGGCGGCTTCACGTGCAACATCTGTTTTATTATTATAATATATATAAAAAAACACTATTGGAACTGGCCGGATGCAGCCTCCCTCCCCCTGCCAGAGCTCAGACGCAGCATCAGTACCTCCTGCTCAGAGCAGGGTGGGAGTTAAATGGGCGTGTGGGGGGGGCTGATGCCTCATTGAACCCCACTCCCCTGTGACCACACGTCTGCCCCTGCTCCCTGGGCAGGGGGAGGAGCCTGCCGCACTTGTTCATTCACTCGCACCCTTGTTCCCGGGTGAGGATGCGGCTGCTCCCCCCAGTGCAAAGGAAAATGAATTAATAATAACGAGAACGAACTAAACTCACAGAGGAGGAGCTCATCCATCCATCCGTGCCCCACCCTCCGCACTCATCCCATTCCTCGTTCCCTCCATCCTCATTCTTGTCCCCACACATCCAATTCCACTGTCCCTCCATTCCCACGCCTGCCCATCAGAGGCTCTGAATGGCACGACCCCCCTCCCCCACCCATAAAAGATGGTGAAATTGCTCCACCTACACAGGAAGTGGGATGGCTAAAACAGGAAGTCACACCGTTGACCCGCCCTCCACTTCAGTCACCTCCTCCCCCCATCTCCAGTCACAGCTGGTCCCTCCCCAATTCCTGATTGGCTCCACCTCCCACCCCCAAACCGCCTACTGCCCCACTCCCCACCAAACACAACTAGTCCTGCCTGAAGTACATAAAAATGGTCCCATCTGTAACTAGCTCCAGAACACTTGCAAATGGCCCACCCACCCCTGCAAAGTAGCAATTTGCCCCACTCTCCAAATACTGACTGGCTTCGCCCCATTCTCAACTGGCTCCACCCCAGTCACAGATTGCCCCGCCCTCCGATAGTGATCCGCTCCTCTGCAATTATGACTGGACCCTATCAAGTAACAAAGTGACCCCTCCCCTCCCTTCCCCAATAAACCCCACCCCCACCCCCTCCTAAACTACAATCCCCTTAACTCTGACCACCCTGGCAGCATTATTAGGAAGTAAAAATTGGAAAACAGAAGTTCTCCCTTCTGGATGATGCCCCCTAGAAAAAGGATTCAAGAGTTACAAAAAATGCATGTGTGTATGGTGGGGGGTTGGTTTTCTTTGCCACCTCCCACCCATAATTATCCCATCCATACCCATCTTCGGGAGGGGATGTGACCTTTAACCTTTGGCTGAAGGTAGACCAGGTGACCTCTTGGTGGCAATAAAGTCCACGGGGTTTAGAGCGCCCCTCGCTGGCTGCAGTGGGAATGGGCTCTCCCAGCACAGTCCACATGGTTCAGAGAGACCCCCCGCGGGCTGCGGTGAGAATGGGCTCTCCCAGCAAAGTCCACCTGGTGCAGAGTGCCCCCAGTGGAAATGGGCTCTCCCAGCAAAGTCCATGTGGTGCAGAGCATCCCCTGCTGGCTGCAGTGGGAATGGGCTCTCCCAGCACAGTCCAGGTGGTGCAGAGCGCCCCCTGCTGGCTGCAGTGGGTTTGTTCCTGAAGGCTCTCTGGACCTTAGGGGAGCAGTCAAATGGGAGGGTGGCTGCTCTAGCCTAGGCACAGCCAGGGAAACTGGAGCCGAGCTCCCTCCAGTCCTTGTTCTTGCTGGGATTTTACTGGAAGACGAAACAGAAGGGGCCAGTCGGGACCCAGTCATGGCAGGGCACCTTCTGCACCCGCCCCGGCTCCCCACCATGAGTGGGGGTTCTGCGGGGTTACCGCCTGCAGGATTCATCTGCCAGAAGAAAGAGAAGGGGAAAATGAGTAGGGAACGGGAGAGGGGGAAACCCAGCAGGGACAGACAGGGGAACAGAACCCAGCAGTCCTGGCTCCCAGGCCCCCTGCTCTAACCCACTAGACCCCCCCCAACCCCCACCCCCCGAGCTGGGTGTTGTAAGCATAGCAGCAGTGCCTGATGGATGTTGGAGGAGGGGGCGGGGGGGACAGTGGGGGCCGGGGTAGGGAGCAATTGGCAAGAGCCGTCTCAATTGGAAAGGGCAGGATGCATCTGTGCCAGGGCTTGCTGGAGGCCAGTGGGCCGACACCCTTGAGCTTCCCCCATCTGGCCACTAGATGGAGCCCCAATGCCCATGGCTGGCAAAGCAAGAGGTTTTCCCACGGGTGGGGACCTGGCAGCAGCTGTTTCATAATCACTTTCCCAGAATGTTTCATCATCACCCAAGCCGCTCCCTGCAGCACAGCGCCCCCTAGTGCTGCACCGGGGCATTGGGGCCAGCACTGACTGCCAGGGGAGAGCACCCCCTGCTGAACCTCCAACTCTGCTCCCTGCAGCACAGCGCCCCCTAGTGCTGCAGTGGGGTATTGGGGCCAGTGCTGACTGCCAGGGGAGCGCACCCTCTACTGAGACCCACACCCCGCTTCCTGAAGCACAGCGCCCCCTACTGCTCGCCGGGACTCACCCACGATGAGGGATTTGGTCCTGAGCACACCCGGCAGGCCGCGATGGAGAAGCAGCAGCTCCTCCTCTTCCTCGTCATCCTCCCCGTGGGGGCTGGCAGAGGCCAGCACGTCCGACTCCTCAGGGGGCCCAAACTCCTCCAGCAGGGACCCCTCGGATGGGTACTGGAAGGTGCGCTCCAGCTGGCTCTCACTGAACGAGATCTTCAACTGCAGGGGAAGGGGCAGAAGGATCAGACCAATGGGCCCATCTAGCCCTGTATCCCGCCTCCGCCCCCTGCCACACTGGATTAGCTTTACGTCCCCGCCCCCCATTTAAGCGTGACTCTACAATAACTTATCAGTGCCCAGGGTCTTAGATCCTGCACCAGTGGATGAGTCCACAGCACAAAGAGACCCTACAATAACAAACCAGTGGATGGCTCCCCAGAGCACATGAGAGACCCTAAAATCATGATTAGTGTGCTGGGTCCCAGCGCCCACTCAAAAACTCTTCAGTAACCCCTGTGCCTATCCCCAGGGCTGAAAGACCCTACAGTAAGAAACCGTGGCACACAGCCCTACAGCTGAGACTCTGCAATGTCAAACCACTGTCTGCATCCCCAGTGCTGACCTGAGACCCTACAATAACAAAACAGTATGTGCATCTTCCATACCAAAAGAACCTATAATAACAACCAGCGACACATAGCCTGAACCCTGACGAGAGACCCTGTAACAACACTGCATGCCTATTCCCACTGCTGACTCGATGCCTTACGATAACAAATCTGTGTTCATATCCCCAGTGCTAAAAGACCTTGCAATAATAAACCTCCACACACAGTCTTAGCAACTACAAGAGACTCTACAATAATAAACCACTGCATGCACCCCCACTACTTACTAGAGGCCCTAAAATAACAAACCAACGTGCACATATCCCCACTGCCAAGAGACCCTACAATAACAAACCACAGCATGCAGTCCAAGAAACGTCAAGAGACCCTACAATAACAAAGCACAGCATGCAGTCCAGGCAGGTAATGCCAAGAAGCCCTACAATAACAAACCACAGCACGCAGTCCAAATAATGCCAAGAGACCCTACAATAACAAACCACAGCACGCAGCCCAGGCAGGTAATGCCAAGAAGCTCTACAATAACATACCACAGCATGCAGTCCAAATAATGCCAAGAGACCCTATAATAACAACAGTCCTCCCAGGCAGAAGCTCTCTGGGGACCCTCTGAGGACAGTGTGGCCATGGCAGTCCCACTTTGGCTAAGCCTCTGGTGGAGGGCAGCCAGGAATCTGCCCCCGCCCGCACCCCAGCTGGGCACAGAGCAGAAGCCCTGGCAGGAGATAAACCCTGCAGGAAATGAGATTAGATATCCCTCCTGCAGAGAAAGATGATTCCCCAAGGGCAAGAGCATCTACCTTGACCTGCAGCTAGGCTGGGCCACAAATAGCGCAGAGGAAGGAGCAGGGGCCAGGCAGAGATGGGAGGGGGAGCCCTGCGTACAATAGTGGGATGCAGCCACCTCTGGGGTGGGGCAGCAGGGGAACAGCCACACAGCAGCATAGAGGGGGAGGCGAAGGGGAATCCTGTGTCCAGTTGTAACCACGGGGCAGGGGATTTCAGGAAGGCAGACTGGACATGGGTTGTGGGGGGATCTGGCCAGGACACTGGGGTTCACGCCCCAACTCGGGAGGAAAGTGCCAGGGGAGATTTAATGACTGGGCCTGATCAGGGCTGCCATGTTCTATGCAATCCAGAAGTGGCACAGCGCCCCCTAGTGCCGCCCTCGGGTATTGGGGTGAGCACCAGCAACAGTGCCACCTACTGAGCCCTCATCCTGCTCCCCGCAGGACAGCGCCCCCTAGGGCCGCACTGGGGTATTGGGGGCAGCACCGACAGCCCCATCCCAACTTCCAGCGGTGTCCCAGTCCAGCCCAGCCCCAACCCCTCCTGCTTAGCATGATTCTAGTTTTAGCCCCTCCCCCACTCCGTTTGGTGACATGGGGGGGGTGTATCTTTGATCTTATCTGTTCCCGAATTGGTTCCCATGGGAATTAATCCCCCGCTAATCGCAATTAACTGAAGTCTATTAACGAGCTGGGGGGGAGGGGGAAGAGGGGTCACGAGGCCGGTCTGGGGAAATTGAGGGTGAGGATCAGGGCCATAATAGCTTCATGGATGCTCATTGGAGGTAGTGAGGGATGGAAGAAGGGCCAGAGGAGAGGTAGAGAGGCAAGTGGAAGGCCAGGGCCAGGCTGAGAGGGGAAACACCAGCATGGAAAAGAAGGCAATGTGAGAGGGGAGATGAAAGATTGCATGGGAAAGACAGGAACCTGGAAATCCAGGAAGGGAGTGACAGTGGCATGGGAGGAAAAGAGGGAGTGAGACCATGGCGGAGGGGAGGAGAGGAAAGTCCTGACAGAGAAGAACAGAAGGAGAAAACTGGGGAGTGGAAGAGAGAGAAGCAGAGGAGGCGGAGAGAGGGAATGTGTGACTAAAGGGGGTGGAAGGGCAAAGAAAAGAGAAGGAGGAAGTCAGGGAGGGAGGTAGAGAAAGGAAGAGGGGAATGAGACAGGAGGAAAAGAGGAATGAAGGACAGAACAGGCAGGATCCAAGAAAAGAACAGAAGGAGAAAATCTGTGAGAGGAAGGAACAGGGGAATGAAACAGGAAAAAGAAGAGAGGAAACAGGGGTGAGGAATTGATGAACAGGACAGGTCGAAGAAAGAACAGAATGAGAGAATAGAGGAGGGAGGGGAACATGCCAGAGTCCTACAGAGACTGACAAGATGGAAGAGGTCGAGGAGGAGCAGGAGAAATGAAGGGAAAGAGAGGGGAGAGACTGGGCGATGGAATGAAAAAGACAGTCAGCGAGAGAAAGAGAGGAGGAAGAAGGGAGTGAGAAAAAGGAGAAATGAAATATGTCTCTCTGCATCTTTCTGCGGCTCCTCCCTTGTGACTCTCACATCCCGCCCTTTCCCTCCCCACTCTCTGGCTTCATCTCTCCTCCTTAGTCTCTCTCACGCTCCCCCATTCTCTCTCCCTGCCCCACCCCCCACAGCTGCCGGGCCCCACCCCTCCCGTCCCCCCCCCAGCTCTGGAATGTGCCTGAGTCACTCGCTCCGCTGCCTGGCTCCTAAATAAGGAGTGAACAGGCCTGGTTTGGCCAGGAGGGGGAGGGGAGGCCGGGAATCCAGCTGCCGTCCAACTCCGCACAGCTGGGCCAAGAGCCTCCCAACTCCGCTCCGGCGTCCAGCACTACCTCCATCAGCGTGCCTGCTCTCCCCCCTGCCCCCAGAGCCCTGAAGGGGGGAGCAGAAACCGAACCCCATATCTACAGACACCCCCCCAAGGCCACGGCCCTCCAGGCTGAGCTATGACCCTCCAGAAATGGCCTCAAATCTCCACACCGGGCTCACAACCTTTCAGACTGGGCCCACGGCCCTCCAGAAACGGCCATGAATCTCCAGACAGGACCCAAGACCCTTTAGACATGGCCCCTGTCCCTGCTGACTGGATCCCACAGCCCTCCAGAAATGGCAATCTATCTCCAGCCTGGGCCAACAACCTTCCAGAAATGGCCATGAATATCCAGATATGGCCCACCGACCCTCCAGGCCACCAACGCTCTAGATCCAGTGGCATCTCCAATGCTTTCTCCAGATCACTTGTCTGGAGGAACCTTCACCCCTGGCTGCCCCCATCCCCTACCATCCAGACCTCCCTGTTGCTTTCCTCACAGCCCTTTCTCTCTGCCTGAGAGCTGAGGAAGGATAGATGGATAGGCTGGACTCTTGGTGGCCCCTTGGAGCTGTAGCCTGAAGCCCAGGGCACTATCCCACGGGCTCTCCTGAGCTCCGGACCCTGTGAAGTGCAGTGTTGGAGAAGGTCCGGTATCCTTTCCCTGACCAGATCCCTCAATGTCTCTGTGGAGCACAGACGACAGCCCAGGGACTGCCTTGCCAGAGAGAGACTGCCTGGCCTGCTGGGGAGAATAGATGGCAAAACACACCAGCTAGATGCCTGGCCACACTATCTATATCCAAGCGTCCCTCTATGCATCCATAGTTCTGTCCATCCTTCCATCATTAGCTCTATCCATCTATCCATTGTCAGATCATCTTCGGCTTTATCCATCCATCCATGGCAAGCTCTTTCTATCTCTCCATCCTCAGCTGCATATACATATCCATCCCTTCATCACCAGATCTACCTGTGCATCCATCCTCAGATCTATCTATCTATCTATTCTCAGCTCAACCCATCCACTCATCTATCCATTCTCATATCTCTCTCTATTTCCCTATCCTTGGCTCCATCCACCCATCACGAGATCTATCTATAGATCTCTCTATCTATCCATCCCCAGCTGTACCCAAGACACAGAGAAACGAAGGACTAGCTGAGTGCAACCCACCAGGCCAGTGGCCAAGCGAGGAATAGAAACCAGGGGCCCCAAGTCCCACTTCAGGGCTAGAAACAGAACTCCCCCCCACCCGCCCCGGCCAGAGCCCCAGTCCAGCCTGCAGACCTGTCCCGCTCAGAGACCTGCAGTAAACGAAGGGCTAAGCAACCCCAGCCTGCCTTAGGTGGCGCTGGAGTGATTGTGGGTAGGGATCCCTGACTGGATTCCCACCCCCTGTTATTCCCACGTGGGGGAGCCATATTTACCCCTTCATCATCCGTTCCAATCACCCCCACCCCAATCTCTATTGAGTGGGTGGGGTGTGTAGGAGTCCCTCTTGTCTCCCTTGGTGATAGTCCCCTAAATCCAGGAGTCCTCAAGCCATTCTCCGCTTCTCTGCTGACAGCTCCCAACCCGCTAAGGGGAGCTGGCCCTGATTTGGGGCATCTGGCTGGCTCAGGGGCATGGGGAACAGGCAATGGGGCCTTCCCCCTCTAGGGGGCACCGGTTCCAATTGGAGAGGCAGGCTGGGCGCTGTTTCTGTCCCTCAATAGCCCAGGCAGGACCTTTGGGCCCTGGCCAGATCGGAATTAGCTCAGATAAGAGAGGGGCTATTTGGGGAATCGCCTCTAAAGCTCTTATACCAAATGGCATTAACGCAGGCCGGGCTCACGGCACTGTGGGGCGGCCTGAAGGGCTGGATTTGCGGCTCCACAGTTCTTTGCTTATCCCATAATATCCACCGAGTGCCCTTTATCCTGTTCTGGCCTGGTTCATAAGGTGTCAAAGTGGGTGGGAAAGGGT